CATATAATAAGTCAACTGTAGGTAAGATTTTGTTTAAACAGTTTATCTGTTTATCAATTTTATCACCCTTATTAAAGTGTCCTTTCAATGGATGATAAACTTCATACATAAGTATACATACATATATACGTATTTTCACATTATCAAGATGAAAAAATGAATAAATAAACTTTAATAAGTGGCTTAAATTAATTGGAAATACAAATGATTGTCTGCATAAAACTTTCGTATTTACCTAACATATATTAATTGTCACTTTAGTAGTTGCACTTACTTCTTGTATTTGCAAACGTTTTTTCCACCAATCTATCGAATGGATTCGCCATGAAACCATAATGATAAATTGCATTCCATGTCTTAGTATCACGAACCGAAATCCCAGCACTTTTTAAAATGTTTATTATTGTATCGGCCACAGGCTGATATAAACTATCTGGATGATCGAGATATAAAAATGTTACCTACGCAAAACATTAACGCATTAAAAATTTTGAAATAAATTTACGAAAAATTAATTTTAACATTATTTACCTGAGTCCAATTAAATGCCAATAGTAACGAAACTACAGATTTCGATATCTGAGTATCTGGCGGTCGAGTTCGGGCAAATGTGGGAAAATCCTGTTTATTAGATGTGTCATGATGTGTGCAATACTACGAATTTGTATTAATATCGGTTTCACTAGATAATTATGAATGTTAATGCCAACACTTACATACGATATCATTGGTAAATTGAAAGCTGCTGCCATGCGACCTTCGTGTATACATGTTTCTTGCGGACCTATGTATGCCACTATTTGTTTGGTCCATAATGATGCTGTCTGTTTTATACTATTGACTTCGTCCCCATATGTTTCAGCTACAATAAAATCCAATGAATGACCTAAAGTTTTTAATTTCTCCTCATTAACCTCCTTCACAGCTAAGGTTATCGCACCTGAGATTGTTATACCTTTTTAAAAAAAAATAAAATAATGTTATATTACGAACTGGGTATTATTTTCGATTCTTCTTACCTGGCTTTTGATAATCCAAATTTCCTGGAGATCTTTGTGATCCAGTCAGATAGCCCAATGTAAATTTTTCGCCTCTAACCGAAATTTTAAAATCAATCAAGTTTAAAATGAAAATCGCAAGAATAGCAAGGAATTTATAATCTGATAAAAACGCGAAAGAGCGTAAAAATGTCCTCATTACGTGCGACAACACTTGATTAATAGTGTTTGATTGATGGATAGAGGGTTAAAAAGGAAGTGTATAATTTAAGTTGAAACTTTTGTATTTTAACTTTGCTGGTTGCCACAGGAATAATGTATACTGACGATGTCTTTACAGTTTTCGTCTTTTTTTATCTGTTTTATAATTAAATTTATGCAGAACAAAGTTTAATTTAAATATGTTCTCTGGCAACTGCTACTAAGTTAAAGATAAATTTAAAAGTATGAACATTTAAACATTGCTTATAGTATGTATGATTTTGTTAAAACAGAAATATGTACGTGGTAGTAAAAATCTATTTTGTCAGTTCCTAGAAAATATACCATCTTCATTCACTCGACACAAGTTACAAACTTTTTCCGCTTCATAGTTTATTTCTTAGTGCCTTTTAATTATCCCCACTAAATGCATTTCTTTAAATGTTTCGACTTATAGTTGATATGTAGTTTGTGATTCACAATCACTTCTTAAATGCAGTTATTATAAGTATTGTATTCAGTTCTTTTAGAAAGCGTGAAAACGGGTTCAACTGTAAGTAACAAAAAAAAATAAATATCACTCTACTTTTATTAACAGTATTTTTTAAAAATAATATTTTATTTAAATTTTGATATCATTGAATCATACAAAAATAATATTAAAATTCGCATATAAGTAAAATAAAATGTTAGTAAAATATAATATTAGACAATTCATTTGTTCATCTTCTGTTTCCTTTGCAAATATTTGAATAACTTTGTCTTGCAAATAGATTTTATAGGTTAAACTTTTCTTGTTTGTTATCTCTAACCATTTATTTTAGCGTTAGGGGTTTAATTTTAAATTCTGTAAATGGCAGTAAAACATTTTACTTTATTTATAACTGGCTCACTCTATCTCTAGCATACTTTTCCACATCATTCATCCATTCGTGCATACATGCGTATGTTTGCTTTAAATCCTTATACAAAAATATACTATATTTTACATACTTACGTACATTTACCCAGCAAAAAAAAATTTTGGAAGGGTATTCGAAATGCAGTCCTGAGGACCTTATCCATAGACAAGCTAGTGGTAAAATCTTACATGGTTCAAAAAAATACTCTGTCGTTAATTGAACCTCTTCACGAACTACTTTTTCGTCATGAATTGTTCGCTGGGTGCACCTACATTTAGAATGTCGTTTGCACATATCCACATTTATTTTCCTGACATTATTTTAAAATACGAGTAAAGTACACAAATAGAAAAATGACAGACAGACACAATAAATATCAACCAAACCGTAATGCCATAACATACAATATCGGTCAAAATATTTTAAATAAATATACTAACTTTTTATTCATGGAATATGGAATCAGACTTAAGATGGTTGTCATTTAAACTGTTTATAATGAATGTTATTACATACATAAATATTTTTAGTAAAACATATCTGAGTCTTGTGGCATGTTTTTAAATTTAAACATCGTTTTATACAAGACGATTTTTCTTCGATTTATTAAAGTGTATATTAATTCCTATCATAAACCATCAATAACATTTTTAATCGTTTAATAATTTTTTATTATTTACTTAGTTACTGTAGGTATTGTTTATATAGGATATAACATTATGAGCATTTTCATCATATTTTTAGAATAATTTATCTGATTTGAATTTATCACAAATACCTAGGATGATTTAAAGATTATAGAGTTTCTCTATATCAATTTTTGATGTGGAATTAGTACGTTATTTAAGAATCTACAACCGATTCCAGATATTTACTTTTGATGAAGTGATCAAAGAAATGTTTAACATCAGAGATTTCTCTATGTATGTATATCTCAATCAAAAATATTCAAAATTAAGAGCAAGACTTTTTTAAGCGTGTGAAAGAAGAAAAATCAGAGAGCTCTTTGTGTATGGCCACATAGACGAATGATTAATATTATGTTAAATATTAATAATACGTATTATAATACAAACTCACTAAATGCTTATGTATTTAGTAAAACAGGTCATAAAATTGTTTTATTCTTTTATTTAAAGATAAATATCAGATGCAATATTATAATATTTAAGATTGCATTCAGTGTTTAATAAACAAGTTAAACTTTTTGTGCACAAACAATAATGAAGAGTTTATTCCTTTTAAGTACGTTTTTTTTTTACTAACTTTAACATACACACATCTATGCTATTGTATTCTATTAATTGACACACATTAAGATTTTCTATTGTTCAACCTTTCTATTCTATAACCCTGCAAGTGTTATTGGAGAACATGATCCATTTAGGTTATCCTAAAACTTGAAATATTTTTTAAACCTTTAAACAACTTAGATTAAAATTTATTTAATTTAAAAAATATACATAGTGTCCTTAAACACTTTAATGCATGATAAAAGAATATTTCTGTATAAATTGCTTAGCAAACAGGAACTTAAATTTCAGGATATGAAAATTTAACTTAATGGCAAGCAACACTAGCAGGAAATTAGTAAAGAATATGTTATTAAGTAGTATCATATTTATAGCACAATTTCCTTTTCATAAGTAAACAAATATAAACACAAACATAAACATATGTATCTTTATTAAATACCCTGTGGTAAAATTTTGAATGTCTTTAATGTTATGAAAATCTTGTGAAAACTTCTTAAAGACAGTATCTGTTTTCCTTTCTAATTCCATCTTTTACTTATAGCAAAACATGAGGATTTGTTAAAAATTCAAATCGACATATTGAAAGCGATTTATTTAGAAGCTATTTGTTACATTTACTTAGATAAATGCAACTTCTATCAAAGCAACTCATTGTGAAAATTTTTAAAGAATAATCGATGTTTCTATTATAAATACTAATTTACACAAAACTGGTTTTCTGTATTTTAATTTTAAGTAAAATAAAACTAAAGAGAAAACTAGCAAGAGTGCTAATATATTAAGCAGTGACGAATCTAATACACTCACCCCAAAAAATTCAAATTTAAGCTTTTTATATAATTTAAATAGAAACAAAAGGAGGAAAGAGCTTAATAATCTTAAATATTTTACTATTTGATTATTTTTAAATAACAAAAATATATTTGTGAAAAACAGATTTTTTCTCTTGTTAGGACTATATGTTAGTCACACATTTTTTAAGATTTAAGAAAATAAAAACCGCTCTTTCCATGTTTTCTAAATCTAATGAAAAAATTAATATACCACCCATTTTTTTTATAAAATTTTAATTAAATTTATAGTCACTTAACACGTGAGACAAATTTGTTTTGAAACTTTATTTGATTGTAGAATATTTAGCATTGTTCTCGGTAATTATATTTAACCTTTAAAAGTGTAAATATAATAATTAATCATATATTTTTTCTTAACAAATATTAAGCATGAATTCATTTGAATTTTTAATAGTTCGACTAAAAAATAATTTATTAATTTTTTCTAATTGGACAACATTTCCTCTAGAATTTCCTAACAATTTTTTGTATTTTTTACATACATTCAAAACTGAAAATTTCGAGACTATTTAGACAATTACAATTAAACTGGAATATGAAAATTAAAACTATTTTTTTTTTCAATGTATTTTTAATTTTTGAAATACTATTGCAAGTGGCTTCACAAGATTTGAATGATTTATAGACTTTTATTTAATAAATAATGTTGTAAATAAATTGAAAAAAGAGTATTATTGAATTGTCCCTCAACTCGCTTTTAATCTTATCTCTATATATATTTTTTGCAGAAAATTTAGTAAATAATTCAGTCTTACTACAGTCTAATGCAACGAAAAAAATGTCAGTATTTTAGTGACTTTTGAAACATGTGGATATCGTGGGAGAAAACAGTTGCAATATATTTTTTAGCCTGCATTTGTGCACTAAATGTAAAAGGCGAAACTTTAGATGACGTGGAAAGTGTTGATGACCCCATAAAATTTTATGTATATACTAGACAAAATAATGTTACGCCACAGATATTGCAAGCTGATGTAGAGTCCATAGTGCGTAGTGTTCTAAATCCAAGTAAACAAACTACGTAAGTTAAACATATACTTTATATTTCGGAAAATTATCACATACATTTTTCCTTCTCCAAACTCTATTATAAATATATCACTGTTTATATATATATTTTCTTCCCTTTATACAAAAGTCTAGCTATTCACGGTATACTGGGAAACAAAAGTTCCGAAGAATGTTTGATAATTAAAGAGGAAAAATTAAAAGTTGAAGATGCCAACATTATTATAGTGGACTATAGTTCCCTAATGGACGGCAAAGATTTTGGAGTTGATTTCATTTCTGCAGATTTAGTAGCCAAATCTATTACAGATTTAGTTATATTGCTAAAGGAAAGTTTTAACATGAATATCCAAAATATACATATAGTGGGTTTTAGTCTGGGTGGCCAAATTGCTGGACTTGCGGGTCAAAACATTTATGAACGCTGTGGTGAAAAAATTAATCGCATTACAGCACTAGATCCTGCTGGAATACTTTTTACTGAGAATACTCCTGCTAACGAAAAATTAACTGCAGACGATGCTGATTATGTGGAAGTCGTACACACGAATGCAGGTGAATATGGTTATGAAACACCTTGTGGTCATGTGGATTACTATCCCAATGGTGGTAAAATTCAACCTGGTTGCATTTCTGCAGATAATGCATGTTCTCATAATCGTGCTTACAAATTTATACCCGAAATGTGGTCACCAGTTAAACATCAGGAATTTTTACTACTTAAATGTGAAAATTTAGAATTTATGAGTTTGGACTCTTGTCGTTGGCAAAATGAAATAATGGGTGAATTGGGTCAACAGCAAAAGGGTTTGTATTATGTAGAAACCAATGACAATATTCCCTTTGGTAAGGGAGCTTTTAAGAAACAATTTTTATAACTGTTCGTTCATATTCATATATAATGATTAGAAATAACATACTTTAAACAATGTTGTCTTATAATATTATTATTAACATGTATTTGCATTAAGAAAATCTAATAAATTGAAAAGTTTCATTTGTAATAAACATTATATTTTCTTTTATTTATACCTACTACTTTTAAATAATACCCTTCATCATGTCATGGCATACTTGAGTGTGTTTGTCATAACTTCTAAAATATCGAAACTGATTCGATCTATAGCTGTACATAAACTAACATGTTTCTATAACGATTTATTTAATCAAATACTTTGATGAATGGTGTATAATATTCATCTGTGCCGACTGTTACATATTTCTTACCACAATAGCACAGTATTTTATTTGGAATCTAAATGCGTAAATTCAATATAAAAGTTCGATCAACTTTTATTTATGGCTAATTTGGTATGTTAGACACGTACATATAAAGGATGTGTAAAAATTTGTAAAGTTTGAAAACTTTTGCTAAATAATTTTAAAAGTTTTTTTTTATGGTTTTATAAAAAGAAAACAAAGAAATTTACATACATATGTATGCATTCACATTAATATGTATCATTATAAAAATAAACCTAATCAATTAGATGTGGGTTTATATCAGTTTATAAAATTTGAAAAAAAAGTTTTGAGTTTCTTCTTTAACTTAAAATTTAAACAAAAAACAATCTTGTTAATCAGAAAATCTATTCATTCGACAGTGAGTTAATGAGTAGCATTAAAAGTAAATCTTTACTTATACACAGAGGGAAAAAATACGTTTTTAAATTGTACACGCCTGGTACCAATTTGACACCAAAGTGTTTGTAAGTTTTCAATAACATCTGTTGGTAAAGTATGTACGGATAGTTGTCAAAATAAGAACAAAAATATAAAAAGTACATGATGTTTTCAAATCAACAAAAAAAAAATAATAATGTGTTACCAAAGTGACAACGCTATGTTGTTAAACAGAACGTTGTATTGTCGAAATTATTGCCGATTGTCCATGTATTGACGAAATGATTGCACGTTGTTGCAATGATATCGATATGTTGTCAAAATTACAATGGTTGTTGTCAAAATGATAACTAGATGTTATTTAAATGTTATATACATCCGTTGTCCAAATGTTAACAAACGTGGTAAGCTCTTTTCCACCTGTTTTTTCCTGTGTAGCTTCTTTTTTAACGTTTTAAAACATAAAAGTCTGTTATCGCAAACTCAACGTTAAACCATCTTCATGTTTCCATCATAAAATATATGTATGTATATGTATTTTAAACTATAGTTATTTATGTCTTTCTAGACGCATGTAATACATAAAAATATTTTATTTCACTTAAGATTCGTTTATGCGAAAAACCACTAAACCGAGCAAATAAACTTTGTCAATTTCTTTTACTCACAACATTAGCATGGTACCGTTTACAAACAAATATTAATATACATATATTTTGTTCGGCATACTATATAGTATCTAGCAATATATAAATAATTAAATTGCAAATGTTATCAACAACATTTTTGATGTCCTTATGGTACATATATATACATACATAATATGTATTAAAAAAAGATCTATGTATATATTAATACCAATAGTGGTTTGAGGAAAAATTGATTTTTAAAGAGTAACTTTATAACTATAATAAACATATCAAAATACATAGTAGATACGGGATAGTATAAAAACAAATTAAATAAATATGTTGGCTTAAATGGTTTTATACACTAAATTTACATATTTGTATACATATTCCTTTGCCTGCATAATTTTTATTTTTTTTACATATGTAAATAATTTATCAGGTATTTTAAAAATTGTTTGTCTCATAAAAACCGTTATGATAAATTATTTTAATTTTTATTTAAATGTCTGTATGTACGTACCTTGATACTATGTATTTTTTTTCCTATTTTTTTAGTTTTCATATTCTTCTGTTTAAATTCCATTGAAACTTTGAAAATAAAAACAAAAAAAAAAGTGTCATTTTCATACATCCACATTTTGAACTCACAGCTTAAGCCAAAATATTTCGGATATGCAAAACACACGTAGAATGAATGTTTGTTCATATGAAGCAAATTGTACATGTTTTTAATGCCAACACTCACTCTAGGAACTGATAAGAGCATTTAACCTACATATATTGTATGTGTGTGTATATGTACATATGTATGTTTAGCCACTGGCAGACATACGAGTACTAAATACTGCAAAATTTCCAATTTACCTTTATAGCAGTGAATTTTATGACTAATATTTTAGAGTTAAATTTTTTGGCGATATTTTGTAATAAGTTTATCTCAACTCAAATACTAAATTGAGTTAAGTTTAACATTGTCTTTAGGTATTTTAAATTCTGAAGGATTTCTCTAAGTTTAGGCGTCTGATTTCAAATTAACATCAAATTCATTTTATCTCTTTGACAAAGCTATTACAACAGATAAAAACTCTATTGATTGTATTTACATTTAACTTTGATATGTGTATTAGTTTAATATTTATTAGTAATAATTAATGAATTTGTGTAATTACATTTTGGTTTCTTTTATTGCGTTCAACTAAATATTATGGCCTTTTTAGTTTTTTTTTAGCAAAAAGCCAATCGATAAGATAATAGCAAATACAGTAGTTAATAAAATTTTTTGTTGATTACAACGCATCATGAATAATTCTTATGGCTGTGTCACGAGATAAAATTTGTTACATACACATGTTGTATCTCTCTAAAGAAATTCTCATTCAAAAATTTAAAATTATATGTATACAGATAAAAGAATTTATATGAATCAATTTAACGTAGTTTTATTGAACCAATTAAATTACAATATTTACTGTCAGCTCAATAACAAATTCATATAACAACAAAGACAATTATAATTAAAATAAAATTATTGAAATCAAATGAACTTGCATTTATAAGAGAAATGTAAATATATTTAAAAAATATATAAAACAATTTAAGAAGTATGCAAGTTTAATATTCTTCATGACTTTATTTATGACAAAAAAATGAAAAATTTATTAACATGTTCGACATAAGTAAAAGTATATTCAATAATTACGTGCCAAATAATTCCAGCCAAAAGACCACTTTTTAAATATGGTAAAGCGTGCCAACCAATTCAGAAAATAACAAAAAAAATTGATTTACACCCAAGACACCTCTGACAAGAAAAACCATACATACATACATAACAACAATGCAGAGTGAGTGTCGTTAATGTTTTATTAAAAATTAACCAGCAAAAAACCCAAGAGTTTCAGACAAAAAGCTGTCAACAAATAATTTTCAATTTGTTTAACTGTAAATTACGATAATTTATAATAACATGACTTAATTGCAATGAACTTGGGATTATGAAACAAATGAAGGAATAATGATTCCATAGAATATCCACTGGGAATGTATTTCTTGAAAACATACAAACATAAATTATATGACATGACAGGCAAAATACAGATCTCCCGCCCTTTCTTATTCTTTATGTTCTAATTAGTAAAAAGTAAAATTTTTATATTATAGGGTACATGGTAAAATGGATTTGCATGTGCAGTCATTAATTATTACTGGTACATATAGATAAGTATGTATATGTAGTATGTATTTATATATAGCTTATAAATTAAACAAACTTATTTAAAAATTTATTTGGTTTTATTCTTTAAATTTAAAATAAACAGTTCATTATGTGTAAATATTTTATGAATTTTTCTTTATCTATATGAGTATGCTAAATACTGAAACTTATTGCGTAAGTTTTTACGAATTGTTTTTGTTGTTACTTTTAAAACTTAATTAATATTTAAACTGTGTGACTCTGCCGATGACTAAATTACTTCAACAATAATGGGCGCATTGTTATTTTAATAAGGTAAAACTTGAAACAAAAATAATAAAATAATACTTGAGAAAATTTAACAGTAGTATTCAAAAATCATATTAATACATACAATGTTTTCGGATAGAAGGTAAAATATCTGATAAATATCCTGATTATGATTGAAAATTTCATTAATAATAAATTAAAAAAAAATTAATTGATTTTCCATCAAATATGGTTGAGACAATGGTGCATAATATGAAAACATATACTTTTATTCAAACCATGTCACGGAAAAAACTGTAGTTTGCCCAAAATATTCATTAATAAAAAATATTTTTTATGAAATTATATTTAACACTTTTCTTTAAAACAATATAAAAAATGCCGACAATCAGATATAAAATTAAAATACTTTAAAAGTATTAATTCATTTTCATTGTTCTTTTTATACACAAAAATTTTCTCAATAACATTTACTATTTTATTTTAATTTGTATAATTTTTACATATTTTTATTATTTTTAATGCCAAATACATGCACACACGTACACAAATAGAGACATACACACGCATTCTGTTAACACAATTTAAATTTTCTCTGATTTTTATAGCACATTTTTAATAGATAAAAAAATAAAAACAAATAAATTGTGTTTGTTTTTCAACGAAGGAATTTTTTTAATAAAAAGACATTTCAAATTGAAAAAGATTTAAAGTTGATATGTATTAATAAACGTACATATATTTATTTGTTATAAATAAAAACATTAAAAGACATTAAATATTTCAATCACGATTTAATGCAAAAATCTTTCTCTATATCTTTGACACGTTTTTAAGTTTAGCAAAGAAAAATTAACAAATTTTTTCAATTGTTTTACTTTTTTCTACTACAACTATACATGATTGTTTTTGCGTAAAACAATGAACTGTTAAAATGAATAAAATATTTAAGTTAAAAAATTATGTTTTTGGAATACTAATAGATTTGTAGACAAAAAAAAACTGGCAAATTTATAATTATATAAAAAATTTACTTTAATTACAATTAACACAATGAATTAAAATATTTAACAATCACATATACATACATACCTATCTACATATGTATATTTAATTATAAATAATTTAAACTTTAATTTGTAAAATGTGGTTTTGTAGAACATTTATCTAAGTACTTGTTCCCAAGTGTATTAAGTTGCTAAATTATCTCAGGTACCATCATTTAAATAATGATTTAGATATAACCAAAAATCTATTTATTTTCCGTTACAATTTAAAAACAGAAGATGACAAAATTTAATACATATGTACGTACGTTAAACAATATTTAATTATTTTTATAAAAAAAACAGTAATTTTCCATTTCTCGCACAAATTTAAGTTTAAAACAACACCTGTTGCCTATTTATTTACAAAAATTAGATAGATGTATATATTTTATACATATATGCATAAGTTTATATATACGTACATATAAACACGCACTACTAAATTGTTTCTTGATCACTTGACTCAATGCACTTTAATTTGCCACACAACGAAGAACAAAATTTTCAAACAATTTTACATACAATGTGCATTGTACATATTTATATTGATTACAAAAACAATCTTCGCAATTTTTTGCTTTGTAAAAACGCAAACTATCTGCAAGTTGTTTAACAATATTTATTTTTATTTTGTTTTATTAGCATTCTTTAAAAATTCTTTTAACGATTCAACAATAACAAATTTTTACTCGTTTTTTTCTTGTTTCAACTTGTTGCATTTAACGTTTTTCTATTTCCGCTTCCCGTTTGTATATTATTCCAACTTTTATCCGAAACACAACCGTTTTGTTTGAACGCCAAAGCGCAACTAAACTTGAAGGCGCACGTCATGAATTATTCGGAGACACGACATATTTTGTTTTATTCGTTGTATTCGTTAGCTAACGAACTTTTTTGAATTGTTTATGTTTAGGGGAAGTACTGCACGACTATGTATGACGAAGTATTGATTCTTTGTGGGTGGTGAAAAATTCGGTTACAATAGCTAATATTTATATTACTTTTTACTGAAGAAAAAATTACAACTTAATTAAAAGAAAAATGTGTCAACTTGAGAAAAATGTAATAATGCGAAAAATCGTATTATCAAATTTTGGATTGGAGTTTCTTCTATGTTTTGAATAATCTTAAAACTCTTCTATTTCTAGCAATTAATATGTTTTTCCGTTAAAAATATTATAAATGGTGGTACGAATCCAAATAAAATGTAAAAGGTCTTTATATTTTAACAATTTGAATAACCTGTGCACTACAGAGAAAGGTAATTGCATGACTTTGTCCTTAAATATAATCATAATTTTCATATTTTATAAGAATTTAAATAGATATTTGAAAAATTTGTGACATTTTCAACTTAATCAACACAAACGATTTAAAAAAAAATATTATAGAAATATAACATTTTACAATTTCCACAAATTTTGACAAAGATTCTTTAATTTATTATTTTTTGTATCAAAATTAATTATATTTTATCATCCTTAACTTTGTGGACTTATACTATTTCCTAACAATGTCGAAAAACGATTTGTAAATAAAAGTCGATATTAAATAATTGAAAAATTGTAAACGTATATAATAAAAACAAAATCTATCTAACATCAAAGTCTAAAAAAAATTTAAAAAAGGCGTATTTTGATTTGTAAAAAAGTAAACCGGAAAAAGTCGAAAAGTCGACTTTTTACAACTATATAACCCAAAATATATCATGGCAATATATATTTAAAAAATGTCGAAAATAAATACTTAATGATTTAATTTACATATACATACTTGTAGGCGCAGTCCAATATTTGAAAAAAATATAAAAATAACTTTAAAAACATTAACATTAAAAATATATGTATACACATTAATTTTACTATGATAATTATTTTTTTCAATGTAAGTCATCTCTGTTGAGATGGTTTCTTATAACGTATACAAAAGCTGGCTGTTATGAAATTGTATTACGTCAAATGTAATTTTTTCAATAGTGACAGTTTGCTTATACACTCTTATTAATGTTGATCTAATTTTTTTGTCCATTCTTTGCAAATTATTAATTTTTCCCATCATAAGAATGATTTTATTAGAAAAATTACAAGAGCAAGGATGGTAAGTAAATCTTGACGAATAATAGAGACTTCAAAATTATATATGAAAACAAATACCTATGTTTTAGGTACTTGACTGAGGAAGGTCTTAGAAAATTAACCACCAGCCATAATTTACAAACGGAAGATGTCAATAAAATCATATCTTTAGCCCTAGATGTAAGTACCTATTAATTGATATACACACATATGTATATGGAAACCCAATGAAATAATATTCGCTTACAGTGGGATTTGAAGGATATAGCGGCGGGCGCTTTACCATCTAAACCCGATAGCAGTGGTACCATATCTGGTCGCATTGTATTACAAATACAAAAAATGCGAAATATTTCGGCACCGAAAGCCAACGAAGAATCCACGGCTGCGCCTAGATTTCTACAATTGGAACTAAGTGACGGAGTTAATACTATAGCTGCTTTAGAGTTTGAACGAATTCCTAGTCTAAATCTTAATGTGCCACCGGGCACCAAATTGTTAATAAAAGCTGAAAAAGTAAAGCTATTGAACGGATTTTTAGTATTAAAGCCCTCAGATATTCAGATTCTCGGAGGAAAAGTAGAAGCTTTGGTGGAAAAGTGGGAAGTGGCTAGACAAATGCTTAAATATGCTAGAAGTAACAGAAGGCTATCAGGATCAGGTGGACCTCCACCATGGATAGCTTTCGGTAAACGATTAGATGCTCACAAAGATGCACTGCCTACAGATAGAAACTTTAAAAGTTTGCAAGCAGCTAATGAAAAGGATAAAAACTCAAAAGAAAATGATGAGTTCAATGTGAGTCGTAGTCAAGCTATCGCCGAAGCCGCAAAGGCTGGTCAAAAGAAAGTATTTGGCGGCGGTCAACAAAATATTTTAGATCATAATGTTAAAAAGATCTTAGAAAAGGGTTATTCTGAAGAAGAGGCGAAACAAGCTCTCAAAACTACCAACAACAATCTTGAAAGAGCTTTATACAATCTCAAGCGTAGAAATAATGTTAGAAGCGGTTCAGTAGATAATAGTGCAAAAACCGTAACCGCTACAACAGGAGGACGTGTAAGGGACAGAGTAGCCTCGGCCAAGGAAGAAGCCGCAGCGGCAAAACCACAGACAAATGTTTCACTGTTTGATTTCTTGACCGATAAACTGCCAGTGGTAAGATATTATTGTCTATAATTATATTTTCGACTTATAATGTAAATATTTTTTTCTACAGACTGTTTCCTCTGCAAGTACTGTTCAATCCCAAGCAGTTAGTAATAATGCTAACAATGATCGCAACTTTAAAGATACTTCATCAAAAACTTATAATAATACCAAAGCTATATCTGTTGGAGGTAATAGATTTGAAAATAACATGTCATCTAGTTTTGCCGCAAATAGAGCAACTGTTACCTCAAGATCTGAAGAAAAGCAACCTTTGCAATCACGTTCAAATACTTTCAATCAAAGACAAGAAGAACGTAAACAACAATCTATCAACAAACCTGGAAGAGGTGGAGAACGAAATAATACAAACAGAACTCAAACCTCAAATTACGATAAGCCTTTAAATCAATCAACTGTGGCTCAAGAAGAAAATATAAAATCCGCAGGAGGCAACAACACTAAGAGAAATGAAAGAAAAAAAGAAAGGGAGCAAACCCCTAGGCAGCCAATGAATGACTATCTGCCTAACAAACGGAATAATGAATTTAATAAGCCGTCAGAAAAGAAATCGTATCAACCGAGGGAAAATAATAGAAATAATAATCAGGATTCAACGAAAAGTTTTCCGCAAAAACAAACACAAAAACCTAATAATAATTTTGAAAAGGCTTTGGACAATTTGGTAGAAAGTACCTCGAAAATGTCCATCCAACATAGAGATGAATCAACAGCTAACAACCAGCAGAATAGGGGCAGAAATAACCAACAAACTTCAAAAAGTAACAGCCATCAGCAAATGCCAACTTTGAGCCAACATAAGCAAAAGTCTTCATCCGAAAACTATCCAAACAATTCCCAGCAACAACAACCTAATCGATTTATAGATTCCCAAAATTTCTCTTCGAAATCTCAGCAAAACCCGAAAAATCCCGCTTATGTGCCTCAAGTCGGTAACGGCTTTGCATATGATCCCAGCAAAATAATGGGATTTCAAAGTAAAGAAGCTAATGAATACGCTATGAACTTGTTAAAAAGTCAAGGCTTGACCATGCAACAGCTGCAGCAGCAACAAGCGGTATCACCACAAGCCCAACAGGCAACATTACCTCCGCCTCCACCACAGCAACAACATTCTCAGAATCAAATACTCAATAATCAAGCCACTGCTGCTGTTGCGTATATGGCACAGAATCCCAACTTATTTGTAGCACCACCGCAACAAGCTCCACCGCAATTCGGCATGATGTCTAGCGGTAATTGGCCTTGGAATATAGGCGATTTGTGTTTAGCCAAATATTGGGATGATGGCAATGTAAGTAACACAGTTAGTTATTAAAATTTCATTGTAATAAATATTTATTTTTTAGTATTACGATGCAAAAATCACTGCTATTTCGGATAAGACGTGTGTTGTTTTATTTTTGGGTTATGGCAATCACGAAGAGGTATTAAAATCCGACTGCCTACCCATCACTGATGCTCAGCACATACCACTGAATGCTTACCAAACAAACATCACTGCTCCTCCCATGGCACAGCCACATCCTTCAGCATTTCAACCAAGGTCTAATATACATTCTGGAGTTGGAGGAAGTGGTGGCAATCAACGTTATCGAGGCGAAAGACAAATGTATGTACCACCACCTAAACGAAATAATAACTGATACTGAATGGGGCCAACGCAACAACAAAATTTAAAATCTAAAACTCAATATCATAGTATTTCACAACAACTTTTGCACCGTCACCATACATTTGTGCATTCGAAAGAAATTAATTAAATATCTACAAACGCGATTACTTCGCAAGGAGATACAATTTGCATTTTAGAATTTCCCCTTAATATTTATAAAATTTTTACATGAAATAAGGAAAATAAAAGGCAACAAAAAAATCTTTATTGAAAATTATAAACTTTATAAAAAAACTCACCATATATAAGTATCCAAAACAATGATATTGCAATTTGTAAATGTTTAATAAACAATAAATCCATGTTTAAATGTGAAATATACAAAATATTTTTTAATTTTTCACTTTTTTATATCCACTGGAACCATTAAATTACTTTATATTTAATAATAAAAATTGTTGGCAAATCTCATAGTACATGTAGGTATGTACATATTTTTGAACAACACATATAACGAGCTCAGATAATTTTAAGTAGAATTAATATACACGAATAATATATTGATTTTCATTTGCAATATTATTTTTTACAGAATTCACAAAACTAAAAACATTTAAAACTTCTTAAGAAAACTATGAATTTAAATAAAGTATTGTAAACGGAGTTATTAATGTTCCGTTATTCCGCGGATGTCATGTTCGGTAGTGTAGCCAGATTGTGTGTTTCTTTTAAGTTTGTCCTAATCTCTGTCTCATTATTACCAAGGTATTTTATGTCTTTTGAATAAAATGGGATTTTGCTACTATGTACATGAGTTAAAATACAATGTAGTGGCTATGGTTGTTTTTATATACAACTTTTCCGGTTTTTCTAAAGCGTAACAATTTTTTTATAAAGTAACGAAAGAATTGCAATTGTTTCTGTTATTTTCTACCTGTTTGCCAAAAATTTCCTGCTGTTTTTGAAACTTTTACGTTTTAAAACATAATTAGATGTATTTTTTCATTTTACTTTTTAGACTTTGTGTGCAAAGTGGGATTTACACACTGTGCGAAGTAGTCTAAATTTTTGCAGGGAACACACAAAAAATAAATATATCTGGTAACACTTATTCCTAGTTAATTCGAGAGACCGAAAAAATAAAGAAAATTAATTCAAAGAGAAACGAATAAAGTAAGAGAATACGAAGCAATAACAAATCAGATTTGGAAACCCGAGATTTTAAAAAGGGTACTTTTTCAAATATAAAGTACCAAATTACTTTAATTTCTTTTCAACATAAGAAGCCGAAATGTGTAATTATCTAAAACTATGCCTATTAAAAAGACATATTGATGAAAAGAACCGATGGATGGATTTACCGAAAATTGAGAGTACATGTTAAAATATAAAATGTAATATTTTTAGTACTGAAGAAAATATAATAGCACTAACTTTTCCATACCTGATAAAATTTCTATAAATACCACTTCTTTTCAAGCAGCAACAACATAACGATTTTGGAAAGCAGCTGAACCACACAGAAAAATTCAAAGTGAAATTTATTAAAACTAATTACCATAAAAAAATAAACAACAGCTCGTTAGTGATTTCATTTGTATTTTTATAATATCCAAAACAATTTCTAAGTTTCTTACAATAAATTATTTTTGACGCAACTACAACAGTTGAGAGAATAATTAAAAAATACCGTGTACAAAGTATTAAATCAAAAATAGTTAAAAAATAAAAGTGAAAATTTGTGAAAAATACATTAAATTATTTTTTTGTAAAAACAAACACTAATCAAAATTAAAATTTGCAAAAATTTTAGCAGCGAACGAAATATACAAACACACTACATAAATATATTTTCATTGTAAACGTCATTATCTAGTTACAAAACAATTGCTTCGAACGAATGCCAACGAGAAAAAAGCAACAAAAATAAACTGCTGGCAACAAAAGTCAATAAAACGAAGAAAAGAAAGAAAACACAATAACAAACAACTACGTGCATAGAGAGAAAAATATATTTGATTTTTCCGTTTTATTAGCATTTAAAAAAGCAACATTTTACAGTTTAAAAAGGCAGATTGTATCTAAATTGAATTCCTCGCCTTTCCTCCAAAGTTTAGTCACTTTATATTGTTGCATTTACGGATTTTCATATTATGAATCTATCATTTGCTGGTTGCGGATTTTTAGGCATTTATCATGTTGGTGTGGCCGTTTGTTTTAAAAAGTATGCCCCACATCTGCTCTTAGAAAAGATAGCTGGTGCATCGGCTGGAGCTCTGGCAGCATGTTGCCTTTTGTGCGATTTGCCTTTGGGTAAGTTACAGATGTTATAACACCATATTTTAACACAAATTAGAATATCAAAAATATGTTTTTTTTTATATAAAATACCTATACTAGTACCAAGGTACTTAGTATACTTTCGCAATTGTACCATAAGATGGACTGAAGTAGCTTAGCTCAGTACCACTAAATTGCGTAGAAAAAATAAAGCATATGCCCAAATAAATACGGGGGCTCGTCATTTGTAGTACATATACTTACACACTAAAATATATACATATGTATGTATACATATTTATATTTACAGACAATGAATCTTGTAGTATTGTATCCATAACCAAACAATTAAGACGCAATAATATCTTTTATGTTTGATATACATACCCACTTCCATATACATATAATATACATATATATGTATGTATGTACGAACAACTATATTTTGTATGAAAAACAAACATTTAAATTACATATACATACATATATATATGTATGTTTATATGTATATCGCTCGATTCTTAAATTCGTTGTTTTTGAATTAAATACAATATAATTTCTGCGCTACAATATTTAAAATAATTTTTTCCCTTTACAAAAATTCCAATCATTTTCGATCAAGAGTATTTTTTTTTTGTTTTAAATATCTATGTATAAAACTAATTTCATGATTGGAAAGAATGTGAAATCAGTTTAGAAATAAAGATTACTTTCACAGCCTATTAATTCGGATCGAGTATTTTGAGTTATGGCCCTTTAGCAGCAAATAAGCGATATGTGTAAATATCATCTTATTCTAATAAACAACGAAATCGAAAATATGTAGTGTTCATATGGGAAATCTTCATAGAATATACAAATGAACATACATACTATACATATGTATTTATGTAACACATTAAAACATACTCGTAGAAAGAAAAATATCATGTGATTGTAGGTCATATCGCAGCTATTTAGCTTAAGAATAATTCTCTGTTTTTGTTTGCGAAAAATAAATGTGCGTTATATTAAATAAATTGTTTTTTAGATATTTCTTCCCATTATTTGTATGTACTAACACAAATATTATGTATTTTTCTTTTTAAGCATTTACTTATTCAAAATTACTCATAAAAAGTTGTATGAAGAGTTCCGTATTATAAAATAACAATTTTAATATAATATACATATATTGTTAAGAATATTTCTGTTAGGAATTTGTAGGCGATACCTTTTTAAAATAAAACAATAAGTTGATCAGTTATTGTCAGTTAGTCGCATATATTAAAATTATGGTTTCTTTATGCGAAATACAATTTCTAAGGAAGCATTGTTAATATGGTATTAAAAATATTTCGATTCTATACCTAACTCCTATTTATATAATACAATTTGCTAATAGTTCCTTACTATAAGGACAAATTGTATTTTCATTGATTTTATTTAATCTTTATCGTTTTCAATAATATACAATAATAAACCACATGCCGAGTTTTAAATAAATACAAAGTAATAAAATTATAATATAAATGCATTGATTTATAATAATCTCTTAATAAATGCGTATGTAAATGTAATTACGTATGTGTGTGTGATTATATAGTATATCTTCAATGTAAAAATTAATCATGTATTAGGGTCCTTAAAAATGTTTCAAATAAGTCATATACTATATATGAACTGTTATTCAAAATTATAGTAGATTTTTACATTATATTTCGAGATAGAACAACGAAGGACCTGACAAAAGAAGAATCATTGATGATCAATATTTTACATTTTAAAATTATTTTTTTCATGAATCATTTTCTATCAGAAAGTAACTTCTATTAGACCTATTAGGTTTCTCATAAAACTTATCTATATGATTTTCTTATAAATAGAAACCATTTCAATTATTAACGAAATTTGTATTATAACTAAACAATTTTTGTATTATTTATATATTGTTAAAATTCGTCATCATATAATTTTTTCAAGCGCAAAAAGTTCAAAGTTTACTTTAATAAAACAACTTATTTGCTATCTATAATTACATTGTGAATGTAAAATTAACAAATAATAAAGAAAAATATTTGTTTATGTGTATGAGTTTTTTGTAAATTGTCTTTGTGCGTTCGATTACAATTAAATTTATTTAGATATCGTAAAAAGTAAAAATTCTGCCATTATTATTGCAGTTGTTTATATTTACATACATATACACATTTATATTTAAAAAATGCTTATCTACAAATTGCAAAAATTTTAGGGCATTGACGGTTTTTTTTATTAAAAATAAATCAGCTCAAAATTTTTAATAAGTTTAAATATAAAACAAAAATTAAATCATCACTTGAAAACCTATTTCGCTACACAAAGAAGTTTTGATAAGCTAACACTTTTTGTTTAGATTTTCATTATTTGATTATTGAATGTGATAAAGCTATAATATAAACCAAGTATGTACATATGTGTCTATTCTTATATACCCTTCTCAAATAGTGTACTAAGGAACATATTGAATTAATAATGCTTCTTTCTTTTATTACTTTAGTTGTTTTAATTCCAAGTGATAATTGCAAATATGGCTAATTTTAAAATTTGTTGGTGCATATAGGTGAAATACATACATACTTGTGTTTTTTTTTGTACTAAATAATGCAATTTTAATCATTTAGTTCATAACAATAGTTGGTCGTTCATAAACGTACATATTATTCATGCATATAGTTTAACATCTGTTGTTAGTTTCATTAGACTTTGCTAGTGGTATTAGTAGGTTATTAATGATAACAAAATCAGCGACCTCTCATTTACAAGTCTGTGTGTATGTTAATTTGTCCTTTTAAATTAAAGCAAAAATATTTTAATTGAGATTTTTAAATGCTTGAATAAT